AGCTCAGGAGACAGACTCACATATAAATGATGATAATATACAATGTAGTTTTTGCCTAAGAGCATGCTGTGGGAGGCTGGGGAGTGAGCATTGTAGAAACCAGCACCTCCAGACTGCAGGACGGCCTGGTGCCAGAGGCCCCATGGGGTGGCGGTGGGGTAGCTGAGGCTGTAGAGAGGGTACAGTGAAGGAAGGCAGTCTAGGTTTCTAATGGTTCAACTGGTGGCAGAGAAAAAGGAAGATGGCGAAAGATGATGGTCAGCAAGTAGTTGGGTAGTCAAGAGTCAGGACTCTCTGAAGTCTTTAGAAAAGTAAGAGACTGAGACACATTGTCCTTAAAAGCAGTCAAGCCCAGTGATTAGGGGTGCAGTTGTTGAACTAGCCCACCCGCTAGCTGGCCCTAGAAAAGCTACTTCATTTCTTCCTGCTAGCTGAGGTGGGAAAATACATTAATACATGGGGTGCAACTAGCCTAACATCAGTGGTACAGGGATGCTATCCTTCCTCTGCTACCTCCCTTGTCTTGTTTTTTTTTTTAACTGCAGTATAATGAAAAAGGGAACAAAGGACAAATACAGCCAGAATACTTGATAAAGAAAGTAGGAAATGTGAAATGAGTCTGGGGGAAGAGGCGGATGGGATGAAAGAGAATGGGGGCAGGGGCGGCCCTGTTTAAGAAGCTTTGGACACTTAGACGTGTAAACATGTAGCCCCCTTGAACCTTCTGAAGTGCAAAGAGAAAATAAAGCTGGGTGCCCATGGCTCACGCCTGTAATCCTATCTACTCAGGAGGCTGAGATCTAAAGATCGCAGTTGGAAGCCAGCCAGGGTAGAAAGGTCCCTGTGAGAATCTTACCTCTAATTAACCACTCAAAATCCAGTCATGGAGCAGTGGCTCAAAGTAAAAGAGTATTTACCTTGAGCAAAAATGCTGAGGGCCAGTGGCCAGACCTGAGTTCAAGCCTCACCACCACCACCACCACCACTACCACCAATGAAAGAGAAACGAATAAAATAATAAAGTACTTGAAAATAGGCCCTAGTGGCTCATTCCTCCTAGCCTCTCAGGAGGCTGAGATCAGAGAATAGTGGTTTAAAGCCAGCCTGGGCAAGAAAGCCCTAAGACTCTTAACTCCAATAAACAGCAATGACAAAACAGCAACAGCAACGAAAGTGGAAAGTAGAGCTGTGGCTCAAGTGGTAGAGTACCAGCCCTGAGTGAAAGAAAGCTAAGGGACAGTGCCTGGGCACCGAGTTCAGGCCTCAGTACTGGCACTAAAACAAAAATCAAAACAGGAGAAAAACTTGAGTAGCTGGTTAGAAAAATACCAACCTGCCATATAAAATGATTTCACTGAGAACATAGAAAATAACAACCTGCAATGTAAAATCACTTTACTGAGAACATAACACAGTCAGGATTTTTGATACAAATTTTAACTATTTCAAAAATAGATTTCTCTACCTCCTTTTAAAAATTATCATAAAAATAAAATGTATTCTTTTACCTTCATTAATTTCCACTTTGGAAAAGAATTTCCAACTCATGTTTAGATTATAAGAAAAAAAACTATACACTAAAACTCTTGATTATTTTCTGTTCTAAGGACTTGCTCTGTGGCAATACTTACACAGAAATACATAGATGCAGGAATTATAATTATAACACAATTTAAATAATATAGGAATAATATAGTAACTAGCGGTCTACTTGAGAGTATATAGCTATGATAAAGCTATATGATAAATGATAGGGGTGGGAAATATTGGCCTGGCTCACAGGCCATATAAGGCCTGACATTTGGCACCTGATTGGACAAAAATATATTTTTCTCATATGCCTCTGGTGTGTTTCTCATCTGCTGCCCTCAGCCATCGCCTAACCTGATGATTTGTATGGTCTGTGGATGATCTTACAAATATCTAAATGGCACATAGAAGAAAAAAAAATCCACATCCTGGCTAGACTCAGACATATTCTAAGAGGAAAAAAGTCTAAGATGCTTTCTACATAAAAAAGCAAGTTGCAGAATGGTATATACAACATGATTCCTTAAAATTATAAAATGGTTGTACACGAGCACATCTATGTGAGTGTGTAAGTCTGTGTGTGTGTACACACAGTCTATAACTAGAAAAAATATAAACAGGGCTTTCTATTAAGGAGGGTACTTTACATAATTTTAACATTTTATATATGACTAATAATCAGTTTTAATTTTTGAATTTTTAAGTTATAAATAATTCAAAGAGACAGGAAAGTAAAAATAATATGTTGACACCTGGTAGTTTGTCTTGTTTTCTTGAGGTTTAAAAAAAATAAAGTGTTAGAAAACATTTGAAGATTTCTTCCATTCTATAATAGAACCTGGCATGTACTTTTTCTGTCTTTCCACGCCATACCTCTGTGTCCCAGAACAAGTAAGAGCTGTCTGAGGTGTTCTTCAGGATTTGTAATCAAATCATAGAATGAGAAGGATGTGACACCTGGATATTCTTCTCTTCTCTTTCTTTTTCCAGTTCTGAGACTTTGAGCTCAGGGTCTAGGTGCTGTTCCTGAGATTCTTTTACTGAAGGTTAAAACTCTACCACTTGAACCACAGCTCCACTTCTGGCTATTTATTTATTGTACTTTATTAGACATAAACGTCTCATGGACTTTCTTTCCCAGACTGGCTTCAAACCATGATCCTCAGATCTCAGGCTCCTGAGTTACTAGCATTATAGGCATGAGCCACCAGCAGCTTCTTCTTAGTTTTAGACTCCACACTGTGTGAACATGATGCTTCTATCTGTTTTAATTTGGCATAATCTCACATGTATCCAGGGCATTCAGAAACAAAAAACAACAACAACAAAAAAACCAAAACCAAAAACAATAACCTTCCAATGTAACAGGAAAAGAAAAACAGTCATTCTAGAGATGGACTTTACTCACCGAATTTCAGATTTATATTCATTGATGGTTTTTTGGGTTGTATCAAGTGGCTGATGGAGCTTTTCTGGATCGAGGCCAGTCTGAACAGCATTTCTCAGAGCTTGGAGCTTGACAAAATAGGAGTGTAAGTTTTGTATTAGAAATTCTATCCTCTAAGCAATGGTCTAGATAGAACTGGGGAAAATGGTGTGTGCACTATATAAATCGATAGTAGGCATCCACCCTTATCTAAACTTTTACCGAAATAAACTCTGCCAAACAATTAACTGTTCCATCTGTCTGGGATAATAAGGAGCAATATTTGTCCATCCTCCTTCTGTAGTCTAGATAATTAATATTACTTCTCTGTGAGTATCTCAGATATACATTTATGTTTGAAGCTAACAGCACGCCTTTTTGGCTTCTGGATACCTGATGGTATTTTTCTAAAATGTTGACATTCATCCAAGTATAGTCTCTTAACAGGAAGTATTGTGAGGTCTTATTGGGCATGAAGGTTTTAAAGTCAAAGCATAAGATGGAAATTGTCTACAGTCCAAACTACCCATGAAAAGTCAATGGGAGGGTGTCACATTGGAAATAAATCCAAATACAGACATTGTTCTCACCAGGAGTTGAAGCAGCTGGGTTGGGCTTAGGTGCTAACAGTATGGGCAAATACACAGAAAGTGACAATCTCTAAGGACACTGAGATTCTTTTGTAGGCCACCAGTAGTCTCAGGATCTGAGATCACTTCAGCAAATAATGGTCCTATGTCTTCCATCCGGTACCTACTTTATATATATGTGTGTGTGTGTATATATATATATATACATATATATATTTCTATCTACATATATATACATATATATATTTCAGAGTCTCACAGACTTTCCTGCCCAGGATGACTTCCAACCATGATCCTCAGATCCCAGCCTCCTGAGTAGCTAGAATTACAGGCATGAGAATGGGCACTAAGCAGAAGTCTTCCTCTTTAAGGAAGATTTGGTCTTATTAAATGCAAATGATTGGTATTCTTCCTTTTGCTTTTACATAAGGCAATGTCTCACCCACCCTTGACAGAATTAACCTAGGAAAAGAGAAGCGGAAACATTGTTTGCTTCTAGGAGCAAATCAATGCATCAGTTCCATCAACAAGAAGTGTAGAAGTCACAAGTACCTTATCAGTAAGAAATTTTGCCTTGTTTCTCTGGTGCCTTGCAAGGTACTGGTCGTATAACTGTGCCAGCTTGGATGCCAAAACATGTTCTCGGCTAAAACAAGGATGGTGAGTGAAGATGAGCCCAGAAATGTCAATGTCCAGTTGGAAATTTCCAGGAGGGTCTCCAGAGCCAATCATATGCTGACTACTGTGGACATATTTCACTGCCTGCCAGAGAAAGAATGGGAGGAACATAAACACTTACCAGATAGTGCTGTGCTAGTTTCCAAAGGAAAGGCAGTCAGACGCAAAATACCTTGTCTTCTGTATTGTCATGTACAACATGCTTGATTACCAGTGTAGAGGATCTAGGTCTTTTGTTTTTGTTTCTGTGCAGGTACTGGGGTTTGAACTCAGGGCCTCAGCTCTGTCCCTTTTTTTTTTGCCCAAAGAAAAGCTCCCACTTGAGCTACAACTTCACTTCCAGCTTCTTTTGGTGGCTAATTGGAGATAAGAGTCTCAGGACTTTTCTGCCTCAGTTGATTTTGAACCACAGCCCTCAGATCTCAGCCCCTTGAGTAGCGAGAGTCACAGGTGTGAGCTAGTGGTACCCAGACTCCAGCTCTTTTTTGAACACAAAGGAATAGGCTTTAGAGAAGAAATCATTTCAGTCTCACTTTCTTATGTCTTTTAGACTTTATTACTCTTGCAGGTCATGGTTCTAATCTTTTTTTTTTTTTTTTCATGAAGACTATCCTGTTTGGTCTTGGGTTTTGTAGCTGGAGATGTTGATCATTTTGAAATGTGAGAATCATAGATTCTAGTCTGAATGATCATAGATATACTCCCATTGATAGAACATAAGCATTAAAAAATATGTGAAGTTTGTGTTTGGTAGACAGCAGCAAGAGACTTTTTCTTAATGGTATTTCCTGCTGATACTCAGCATTATGCAAAATAACAGGAAGCAGGGTGGAGAGAAGCTGGGCTCAATGCATACAGTAAAGCAATGGAAAGTGCAATGGACTGTTGGGTGTAGTGTCAGATGAATCTCTGATTTTTAAAAATAAAGTCTTCAAGGTATTCTTCATCAACCCCACAGCTGACTGAGGCTGAGAGCTTGAAGGGGAAGAGGGAGCAAACTCTGATTGCATATTTGTGTTTTCTCTCCTGGCTGTAGATATGGACTATAGTCAGAATGTGCTGGAACAAAACCAATCACTCTATCTTTCCTTCTCTTTTGCAGAGATGAGCTGAAAACTGTACTATGAAATTGTGTGGTATCAATGTTTTATGTGCAAGTGATAAGGTCACGTAGAAGTTATAAACACTTCTAGACACAGCATGTTGAAAGTTTGGACCTCAGTTGGTGACAGTTTTTGACAAGTGACTAGATCATGAGGGCACTGTCATCAATGGGTTAACTCACTGATGAGTTTGAATGAGGCTAGTCCATCTCCTACCTACCCCATTAGTGGAGCCTGGTTAGAAGAGGTCACTGTGGGCATACCTTTGAAGGGCCTATCTTGTTCATGGTGTCTCATCTGTCTGTCTGTCCTTCCTAGCCACCACAAGGTGAGAGGCCTTCCATGATGCTCTGCCTCACTGCAGGTGCCCACAGGAATGGGCCCAAGCAACCAAGGTCTCACACTTCCAAAACCACAAGCCCAAATCAATCTTCCTCCTTCTACATTGTTTCACTCAAGCATTTTGTCACAGCAACAAATAGCTGGCTAATACAACTTCCTTTTTCATACATTGATAACAAAACAATAGCAACAGAACAAAAACAATAGCAACAGTTTCTCCCCGATGTCCCTTATGGATCATGTTCCACTGCTCTTTCATGTCCTATGGGAGCCCATGTAGCCTTTCAGACATGAGTTCTGATCACTGGTATTCTTATACATGAGGCTCTATCATGGTGGCCTATTTTTTCCTCTTTCATTCAGATAAAAGTATTCCATTAGAAGCTGCATTGGTATTAGCAGTTGCAGGTACTGGGCTTTGAACTCAAGGTCTTGTGCTTATGTAGGGCTTGCTTGCCAGCTTGTGCTCTACCACTTGAGCCATACCTCCAGCCTGATTTTTACTGGTTACCTTGGAGATGGAATCTCTTCAGATTTCTCTGTCCCAGATAGCCTCAAATCACTCTCCTATGAATCTCAGCCTTCTGAAAAGCTAGGATTACAGGCATAACCCACTAGCACCTGGCTTGAAGCTTTCAGTCTTCATGTAGCATCTATGTGTTTATGACCACCTAGAGAACCTAGATTAATTAGAAACTTTCCACCTTACAAAGAAGTGTACCACTATCTCTAGTGGAATGTCACTGTCTGGTTGCTTGGGCCTGCTAGTTCTTGCCTCGCCTTCCCTCTTTCCTTGGGGTTTTCCAGTTGTGAGCTCAGTAGGGTGTGGCTCTCAAGTTCCATCTTGCATTCAACTTGGTGTGACTGAGCAACCACACCATGGAATGCTTTTATGTTCCTGGAATGTTACCTGCTATGTCTCCTTCCTCAAATCTGCATTACTGCCTGTTCCCGTCTCTGTCTTAGAGGCTTAAGCTCAGCTCCATTTCTGTCTCCTCCCAAGAGGTACAAAGCCTCCCCAAGGCTAAGGCCAAGTTTAAATGTTCCATCTCTCTAGTCCTAGATGTGTGTGTGTGTGTGTGTGTGTGTGTGTGTGTGTGTGTGTGTGTGCGCGCGCGCGCGCGAGCGCCAGTCCTGGGACTTGAACTCAGGGTCTAGGTGCTATCCCTGAGCTGTTTTGCTCAGGGCTAGTGCTCTACCTCTTGAACCATAGCTTCACTTCTGGCTTTCTAGTAGTTTATTGGGGAAAAGTGTATCACAGACTTTCCTAGCCAGCCTGGCTTTAAACCACAATTCTCAGTCTCGGCCTCTGAGTGGCTGGGATTACAAGTGTGTGCCAGCCGCACTTGGCTTTGTATTTCTAGAATTTAACACAAGTAAATACATAGTGAAAGTTTAGTTAAAGATGAAAAGGATAAAATGGGAAGGAAGGAATAAGGAAGAAAAAGACAGCTGAAGCTGGTTTTCAACAAAGCTAGCTGTACTTGGGATTGTTGATTGTGCAAACTCAATGTTCTTTTGTGCTTTACCTTACAATGGCCCATTTTGTATTTTTAGTTTTTTAGATTTGGAATAGTCCTTTTAAAAAATATGTTAAATTTCTATGTGTTAAATTTGGACCTTAACTTTTTTTTCTCTGCATGGTATTCAATCTCTTTTTTTTGTATTCTCTCTTTAATGTTCTTTTCTTAATTTAGAAACAGCAGAATATTCACTTTTTTGTGTACTGGTCATGAGGCTTGAACCCAGGGTGCTGTTCTTGAACTTTTTGGCTCAAGGCAAGTGCTCTACCGCTTGAACCACAGCTCCATCTCTGGCCTTTTGGTGGTTTATTGGAGATAAAATAGTCCCACAGACTTTCCTGCCTGGACTGGCTTCGAACTGCAACCTTCAGATCTCAGCCTTTTGAGTAGCTAGTATTACAGGCCTAAACCACAGGTGCCCAGCTCTGGGATTTTTTTTTTTTAACATATAGAGAAACTGCTAAATGCTATAGTTAAGAAGAGGAATAGAACCCAGTTCTGGTCCTAAGTTACTCTCAGCTTATAAAGTGAGAGAAAGAGATGAGCTAACAATTTATGAACAAAACAAACTCTTACCTTTTCTTTCTTTCTCTACTCCTACATCATGTCAAACACATGATGGTGGAAAGTCTGTTCTGACATAGGATGCAAAATATAGGATGAATGGATTTAAAGCATTTTTAAAAAAAGAAAAACATAAACAGGTAGATTTCAGCATCAGACAGAGCTGGCTAAATGAGAGCATGAGCTGAGTTTAAACCCCCAAATCACACAGACACAGAGAGAAAGAGACACAGAGACAGAGAGAGAGAGAGAAGAAGAAAGAGGATTTGTAAGGGTAACAAATCTCCAGTGAGGGCATAAAGATACAGCAAATTTATGATGACTGAAAAGAGAGAAGCAAAAGAAGCAGGGTGAAAATAAGTGCCACGCTAGCCTGTATATGCAAGTAAAGTTATGTTCTTTTTTGTTGTTGTTGTTAGTCATGGGGCTTGAACTCTGAGCCTGGGCACTGTCCCTGAGCTCTTCAGCTCAAAGCTGTTAGCTTTGAGCGACAGCACCACTTCCAGTTTTCTGAATGGTTTATTGGTAGTTAGAGTCTCACGGACTTTCCTGCCTGGGCCGGCTTTGAACTGTGATCCTCAGATCTCAGCCTTCTGAGTAGCTAGAATTATAGGCGTGAGCCAACTAGTGCCCGGCTAAAGTTGTGCCCTTTATGCAAATAGTCATTCTTGGCTAGGAAATGAATTCATTTCTTACAGAAAGGATTAGGTGAGCAGAGGGACTCACTTGTACATACCTGCTCTTTGTTCTTTATGTGCATGATGGTGAGGTATTAAAAAACAAAAAACGAAAATACCCCTCAAGGGAGAATGTTCGAAATTGCTCACCCCAAGCCACTTAATAAACCAAACAATTTCAAATTCACGTGTTAAACTGGATTAAAATGGAGGGGGGATGGTGATCATACCTTTTTATATAGTGTTTCAAGTTCTGCCTTGATGCATTGTGCTGGGGTGAACAGTGGGGGCCGCGAGGGAAATGGCTTGATGGGACTGGGCAGGGCCAGGATCCGGCCATCATCTCCAAACCACTTCCTCTCCTGTGGATTAAGCATCAGAGAGCTGTATTTCTTCCTTGGAATATGAAGTGGTGTACAAAACCAATAACACTTGTCAGAAATTTCTGCCTTGATGACACATTTTATATATACCTCCTCCTCTCCCAAAAGAACTTGAAATGCTTCTGTTTCCAGTGGAAATTGAACTTCACCAATGCCTCCAAGATGAGTTCAACACAAAGTCCCTAATCCCCAGAATAGGTTAAAGGTTATGTGAGCCAGGCACTGGTGGCTCACACCTGTCATTCTGAGCTACTCAAGAGGCTGAGATCTGAGGATCATAGTTCAAAGTCAGCCTGGAAGACAAATCTGTGAGACTCTTACCTCTACTTAACCAGCAAAAAGCCAGAAATAGAAATGTGAGTCAAGTAGTAGAGCACCAGCCTTGAGCCAAAAAAAAAAGTAAAAAGCCAAACAAGAGGATGAGGCCCTGAGTTTAAGCCCCAGTACCACACACACACACATTTTGTGAACTGAGAAAGGGTGGCCCATATCTGATTTAGCAGAGACCAAGTTCTAGGTAGCGGGAGATGAGTTTTGAGAGGCTGAGAGGTAGATTTCTTTGAGAGTCACTAGGTGTACTGGGAGATTGAGTATAAGATTGAGTATAAGCTTTCTGTGGATGACTCAAGAGGAAAGGGGTGTGTGGAAGCAACTGTCCAGAGCTGGGCTCCACCGGGGGAGGGGCAGGTCCCCACTCACTGGTTCTTGCCTCAGCAGTCTGTTCTCCATGATGTTCTGATTGGTGCGGGCCACTTCCGGTCTGGCTCCGATGTAAAGGCCTTCGTCTTCCAGGTATCTGGGCTGCACATTGTCAGGAAGCTTTTTATAGGTCGGCACTAGAGAGTTCACAAATAAATACAACAAACGTCAGGGCCAACCTCAACCTGCAGACTGCCATTTGGTGAGTTAAAACATCCATCTGAGAGTTCATTAGGGTTCTTAGACACTTCCCATTTTCCAAATTAGCTTCTAGGAGCAGAGCCAAGAGGGTAAATGCTTTCATTTGCAATAGCATGTTGGAGAATCACAGGTCTAAAACAATTCAGAAATTGCCACATGCTTACTCTTCTCGGCATGGCTTACAGGGAAGAACAAGAATGTGGTAATATTCCAAAAGGTGAATGCTTTCACTCTGGCTTTTTCTTTGGCTGGATGAATTCAGGCTAGACACTTCTAGAGCTCCTCTCTTGTGTACAAAGTGATTGTGGCTTTTATTTCCCCAGCCTCTGAGAATTTGAGGACATAGTTGGTAAATGAAAAAAATCTCTCTGAGCTGGGTGCTGGTGGCTCAGCCTTGTCATCCTAGATACCGCAGGGTAAATCCTTCTTACCCCCCCCCCCCCCCCAAATCACATCAAGATGCTTGTTTCCTTCCCCTCCTAACCGGAAGTAGAAAGTAAGTCTTCCCCCAAATGCCATCAAGATGTACACATTTCCTTCCTTCCTCTCCCAACCGGAAGTAGAAAGTAAGTCAGCCCCAAGATGCCATCAAGATGTACACATTTTCTTCCTTCTTCTCCCAATCCGAAGTAGAAAGTAAGTCAGCCCCGCAGGGCGCTCTGCAGTACATGTGTGAACAAACAGACCTGGTGAGTCCACATGGCTGTCCCCTGCCACTCTCAGAAGAAAAGAGCAAGGGACACCAGGACCAGTGGTAGTAAGTGGAGGGTCATTTCTCAGTCCCAGCTCCACAGTCGTGGCCTGTTTCCCAAGAGTGAGAATCTTCTCATAGCTGAATCTCAGAGTCTCGTGTGCTCCTGGCCTCTGGAATGAGCCACTGATTTGATGAAGGAGCTTCATCAAACACTGCTTTTGCTATTTTACCAATAAGTCTTTGCTGAATGGATCTTTTCTCCCATGTTCTTTTTTGGGAAGGTACGGTTCTGGGGCCTAGCATCCCCCAGTCCCACGCTCTACCACTTGAGTCATGCTCTCAGCCCTTTTTACTTTTAAGTTATTTTTCAGTTAGGGTGTTTTTTTTTGGGGGGGGGGGCGCATTGGGGCCAGCCTCAGATTGTAATCCTCCTATCTGTATCTGCTTCATAGCTAGGGTTACAAATGTAAACCACCACCTCTAGCCTGTGGTTGAAATGGGGGTCTCAATCCTCCTGTTCTTTGCCTCCCTAATAGCTGAGATTATAGTCATGAGCCTCACTTTAGTGTATTTCTTGATTGTGAAGTAAGATTAGAAACAAGAATCAATGCATCCATATATATCACTGTATTTCATCAGAAAGAGAATGAAGATGTCTAAACTGAGAGAGAGAAGAAAAAAAAGTCACAGAAGTACCTGTTTGTCTACCAGGGATAAAGAGGATTTCTTTTTCCTTCTGTAGCCAAACATGAGCACTTTCATACTCTGCAGGTCTGACAGCCACAAAATCGTGGACTGCACCGTCTAAGCCCAACAAGAAGTCTTCAGCACCCTGATCACTTAGAAGCTCTTCTTCATCCTGTGTAATGTCAAAAAAAGAAAAACAACAAGCAAAATTACACTTAGATTAGAGCTGGGAAAGTGGCTTAGTGATAGAGTGCTTGCCTTGCATGCCTGAGGCCCTGGGTTCGATTCCTCAGTACCACATAAGCAAAAAGAAAAAAGCTGGAAGTGGTGCTGTGGCTCAAGTGGTAGAGCGCTAGCCTTGAGCTGAAGAGCTGAGGGACAGCGCCCAGGCCCAGAGTTCAGGTCCCACGACCAGACCCAAAAAAAAAGTAAAAAAAAAAAAAATTACACTTAGATTCTATTTGCCTAGAAAAATAATTACTGGCACTAAATTCATTAAGCTTCTCAAGTTTTAAATCTAATTGATTCAACATTTTAAAATTTGTTTTTAGTACTGGTACTGAACTCAGAGCTTCACACTCTTACTTGTGAGTTGCTTTTTGTTCTTTTTTCTTCTGCTCAGGTCTGGTGTTGTACCACTTGAGCCTCAGCTCCACTTCCAGCTTTTTGCTGGTTAACTGAAAATTAGAGTCTTATAAATTTTTCTGCGCAGGATTCCTTTGCAATGTAATCTCTGAACCACTAGTTAGTGGTCCACCCGGTTTTTTTTTCCTTTTCTTTTTTTTTTTAAACAAAAAGTATAAAACTCTTCATATTTTGCAAGTGGATTTCATTGGTTGTTTTTCACTATTCTATGTAGCTATAATATACGGCAATCAGAAAGGGATAAACAAAGCAACTGAAATCTCAACAAGCTTGACCACCTTCGGAAGGCTTACCTGTGAACACTTATTTAAAGAACTTGAGCTCCTACTTATGTCTCATGTCCACTCAGTACCATCCCAAGGACAAAGGCAGCGAGTGGACAGCTGCAGAGACCTTGCTCAGCTCAGATGGCCTGGGTTTGAGTGTCAGCTTTTCCTTGTGCTGCCTGGGCTGAGAAAATTTAGCCTTCTGATCTTCAGTACCCTCTGCTGTAACATGGGGATATTAATAATCTTCCTGCTTAGGACTTTGAGAGGATAAAATTAAATGATGCATGAAAAAATTTTATGCCCAGTGGTTATAATTTGGTAGTTATGTCTCTTCCCCTTGAGTGTTTTCCCAACATTTTCTCCTCTTTCATGACTTCCTCTTCCTCTTTTTTTTTTTTTTAAATACAGGGCCTCATTATGTAGCTCAGGCTGGCCTCAAACTTGTGACCCTCCTGCTTCAGTTCCCCACAGTGCTGAGATTACAGGTGATAGCCAACTTCTTTTTCTTCTTTCCACTGCTCTCCTTTCTTTTTCTCCTCCTCCTCCTTCCTTCCTCTCCTCACCCTCTTTCTCCTGCCCCCACCCCCTTCTCCTCCTTCTTAACTTTTAAGCCTGGCCTCTTAGGCAGTATCTTTTAAGATCCTATAAAGACTTCATTTTTCTGAAGACAATGGGAGCAGCCTGGCTACTTGCCTCCTGATGTTTCTTCTCCAATTAGACCACCCAATAAGAAACAAAAAGCAAATCTCCATGGAAACCAGGTTTTCAGCATAACTTGAAGACGGTAAAATGTCAAAAACACCCAAAAAGAAAAAAAAACAACAAAAAAAACCCCAAAAGCACAAAAACAAAATCAGAGCGATTACCCTTAGCAATGCATAAGCTCCCTTGCCTGTGCCCCACCTCCTCTTTTGGGGACCAACAAAAGTTCACCAAGAGAAAACTGCAGGGGAGACAGAGGGAAGAAGCTGCCCAGTGCTCTCCCACCCAGAAAGACGAAATCCACTTGACTGAGTAGATTTGAAAAGCACCTGGCAGAGCAGAGTGCAGACCTCAGAGAAGGGCTTCCAGGTGTTCAGAATTTATTTATTTATATTTATGCTTGTAGTTTATTTATTCTTGTGCTGGTTCTGGGGCTTGAACTCAGGACCTGGGTGCTGTTCCTTAGCTTTTGGACTCAGGGCTAGCACCTTATACCTTGAGCCGCAGCTCCACTTCCAGCATTGTACTAATTAATGGGAGTTAAGGATCTCACAGACTTTTCTGCCCACCCCTACACAATCTGTCTACATTGATTCTGAGTCTTCCCCCTCCTCTGTACCATGGGGACATGAAATACTGTTGCACTTACTCCCTGGGCAGGCAGCTCCTCTTCCCCTGACTCCTCCTCTTGGTCATTTCCATCTCTACCTTTTATTTGTTTTTTTTCCTCTAGTTCTTCTGGTTCAGGATCAAAGTTGAATGTAAAGAAGTTATAGGCCTCTTCTGCAGAAGGGAAGCCAGGCGGAGCCTAGAGGAAAGCAAAGAAGAGCTTCTTATATCCAAAAGAATGAGCTGGCAGAGAACAAGCAACTCCCAGCTCCCGAACACTGCCATACACTACATTCTAACTGTGATGTCTCTGTCGAAGGTTAGCTGGATTACCAGTGGTGACTTTTAACAATAGCAATAGGCAGTAGGAAGTGTAAAATATGAATACCTCTAGCAGCAATTATTTACACGTAATAAGCACATAGAACTTTAGAAAAGGTTCTTCATGTGGCAAAAAATGGATCATTTTCATTAGAAATATAAATTTTAACTTTTAAAAAATAAGTTACCCTTTCTTTTTAATTTTTCTTGAATCGGTATCTTCCTTTCTTCTTCATTTTATTTTTTATTTTTTGGTGTTAGAATTTGAACTCGGGGCCTTGCACTTGCTAAGTAGGCATTCAGTCTTCCTCTTGAGCTAACCACCTCCCCCCAGCCCTTTTTGCTTTGGTTATCTTACAGCTAGGATCTTGCCTTGTATTCTTTCCAGCCTGGCCTCAGTCTGCAGTCTTCTTACATATGGCCTCCTGAGTAGCTGAGATCACAAATGTGAACTACCATGCCCAACTTACTGGTTGAGATGTAGTCTCCCTACCTTTTTGCTGGGCTAACCTGCACTCTCGGTTCTGATCTCCACTTCCTAGCAGCTGGCATTACACAGTCCTTCTTACCTGGGTTTTAGACTTGGTCTTTCGTACAGGATCACGGAACTTTACTCTTGAATAACTCTGGGAATCTTCTTGTTGTGTCCCTTGCACCTCTTTACCTGGCTACATGAGTGGGAAAAATAACAGATAAGCTGGTTAAGCAAAGAGAAGAAAGAGAGTTTAATGTATATCTTCTGACCATTGATACCTCTCACTCACAGGAGTAAAATATATACAAGCTTCAATTACACCTGAAGGTGAAGGCTGCTGAATCTTTCTCAACCTTGTCTCTCTTAAAGCTAAACAAATATAAAACTATATCCCCCATAAGAATAAAAACAAGTGTTATTTCATCCTGTAGATCAAGGATTATCCATTTTACAGAAGATAACTTCTGAACCATCTATTAAATAATTACCCCTAAAGTTTGATGTAAATATACATAGTCTACCTGGCACCAAGTTTGTGCTTCTTACTATGGCATGATTTTTCTCTTACATGTCTACTTTCTGTGTCTATAAGTGTGATTGTGAATGTTTTATTTTAGTCTACTTGAAAATCAGAGCTTGAAGCAAGGGCTTTTTGAGCTTGATTTTGAGAACTGATTCCAAAAACAGGAGTTGTGGGCTGGGGAAAAGATAACGGCCCTGAAAGTCAATTCAAGAGAATATTGTTAAGCTGGTGACTGAAACAGGAAAGTCATCTCAAGGCTATGTAGAATGCGTCTCGGAATTTTATCTCCTTAGAACATAGAAAAGGGAGAGATTTGTTCCTTAAGTAATTAAGGCTGGTCCCTGGGGGTGTTGAGCCTCTGGTTCTTCTAAGAGTCTGAGTATGTTTGGTGTTTTCATAAGAATGACTCGGTGAGTATCAAAGGGCTTGCAGAAGAGCAGACAAAACCCTGGGATGAAAGCTAAGGGTGCTTGGTACAGCTAAGGTGAAATGAGCCAAAATCTGGCCCAAGTAAAGCAAGGACTGGAATATGTGGTAGGATATAATTGACTACAATAAGCACAGAAACTATATGGTATAGATTGATGTAAAATTCTACACTTGTCTATTTTCTCATTTGGTCTTGTTCCTAGGAACTAGTTAGCTTCCAGCTCACTTATAGGAAAGTTGAAGTTCTGCTCCTACTTACAATCCACAACGCAATGTGAAGTGAAGGACTCGGTTGTTTGTCTTGGTGAGTTCCCAGAATTTTAAATGTTGTTTGGAGGAGGAGGAAAGAAGCAGATGAGAATTCCATTGTATAAGGGTAAATAAAGAATAAGAGCAGATCTAGTGTAGAATAAAGATTGGGTTGCTACAGTTGGTCAGGAGAGTTTTCCAAGATTCTGCCAAGTCTCCCTCATGACATAGAGCTGTCCACTTTAGAATCCCAATAGCAGATGGGATTGTTTCCACTGAGGGAAACAAAGCAAGAGGTGAACCCTGGAGAAAGGAGAGAATTCTGGCTTTGCCTAAGAGAGCTATGGGTTGCAGAGATCTGACAATAAAACACAGGGTCAGGCAGACAAATCTATAAGAGTTGAGAATAATATAGGTTAAAATAATAGTAATGATAACAATAATAAAAGTAAGTGGCTATATGGAGATTGGCTATTTTACTTTTTTTTTTGTTGGTCATGGGGCTTGAACTCTGGGCCTGGGCACTGTCCCTCAGCTCTTCAGCTCAAGGCGAGTGCTTTACCACTTGAGCTACAGCGCCACTTCCGGTTTTCTAGTGGTTTATTGGAGATAGGAGTCTCATGGTCTTTCCTGCCCGGGCTGGCTTTGAACCGCGATTCTCAGATCTCAGCCTCCTGAGTAGCTAGGATTACAGGCGTGAGCCACCAGCGCCCGGCTCTGGCTATTTTACTTTATCTTTGTTTCTTTCTATCTTTTCTACACTGGTCTGACAAAGAAGATAATTCCATGACTGTGTTTTGTCACAGAACTGATGGCTTTATCACAATATATGAGGAATTGATAAAGTTTATAATACTGCTTGTCAAAACCTAAAAAAATTAAAGGAGAAAGCTTATGCACATTTGAGGCCATTAAATATGCTTAAAATTACTTGCTAAATAAATTTTTGTCTTTTTATCCAAATATTTGGCTTGAACCCATGGCCTGGGTGCTTGCTGTCTCTTAGCATTTTTGCTCAGATCTGGCACTCTACCACTTGGGCCACAGATTTACTTCTGACTTTTTGGTGATTAACGGGAGGTAAGCGTCTTATGGACTTTTCCTGGACTGCCTTCAAATGATGACCCTCACATCTCAACTTCTTGAGTAGCGAGGATTACAGGCATGAGCTATAGGCACTCAGAGATAAATTAACTTTTAAAGAAATATACGAACAATGTATGTGTGGTCTTAAAGGAATTACTTTCAGTTTCATCCAACAATCAAATATTGAGTGCCTAACATCACATGTGCTTACATCCAGCTAAGAATTTTTCTCATCTTTAAATTGGTTGTATCTTCCAAGAAGTTTCCACGAACTTCTAACTTGAACTGGGCAATGTTGCCATATTACTTTTATTTATTACAGTATAATTATAAAATAGATCAGTTTTAACCCTCATCTCCAAACCACTAATCAACATCTGCCTACATCCATCTATCTATCTATCTATCTATCTATCTATCTATCTATCTATCTATCTGTCTGTCTGTCTGTCTGTCTGTCTGTCTGTCTGTCTGTCTGTCTGTCTATCTATCTATCTATCTAATCTATCTATCTATCTATCTATCTATCTATGGGCAGTACTGGGATTTGAACTCGGGGCCTTGATAGGTAAGTGTTCTACCACTTGAATCTGCCCCCACCCATTTTTTGCTCTGGTTTGTTTTTCAGATAAAGTCATACACTTGGCCAGCCTTAGACTGAGATCTTCCAACCTCCACCTCCTGAAAAACTGAGATTACAAGGGTGATAACCATGCCAGGTGCTACAGTGAAACTTATTCTCAATACTAGTTCTGATACAAATCAAGTTGCCTGATTTATAAATAAACACTCTTTCTTGTGTTTTTGGGTTTGTGTGTTTTTCTTGATGATATCCTCTAAGGCACAGAAAAATTTAACTTTGGTGTCCAATCTATTTATTCTTTCATTACTTATGTGTTTGGTGCCATATTCTTTTTTTTTTTTTTTTTTGTCGGTTGTGGGGCCTGAACTCTGGGCCTGGGCGCTGTCCCTCAGCTCTTCAGCTCAAGGCTAGCACTATGCCACTTGACCCTCGGCTCCACTTCCGGCTTTTTCTGCTTATGTGGTGCTGAGAGATGGAACCCAGGGCCTCATGCATGCAAGACAAGCACTCTACCACTTCCCAGCCCCTGGTGCCATATTCTTAAAGAGAAAAATTGCCTAACTCAAAATACTTAAAATTTTTATGCAACCCATATCTAAGGCTGGAGTTAGGTGTTATTTGTCTGGGCTACTAAAGAGCTGAACTATTCAATACCTCTACTGTCTGTCACCCCACAGAACAACTCCAGAAGAGCAGATTTTTATTCACACTGCTGTGTAATCAGAGCTACGCCATCCCTGGCAGGAAAGACTTGGCTGTAAATGCTGGCTTTGGGGTGGTTAGTTGGCCAGTAGGTAGGCTGTGTGAAGAACCAGATGTTGGGTCTCATGGGAGAAAGCAGGGAATACACATAGAGAAAATGTGATCCTATTTAGTGGTGACTATGTTGTTCGATAAGGCTTCTTTGATACTGACATTTGTTCACATGTTACAAGGCTGCAGAGCATGAAGGGAGAGGAAATGTAAGATTGCCAACAGTGGCTGACTTGGGGGAACTTGACCTGTGGGCCAAACATTCCCAGCGTGTTCTTTTCTCTTGGACTTCAGCCTCTGACAATGGCTCATACTTGAGAGCACTTACCCTGTGCTGGGGACTCTCTGAAATACTGAGAACAAGGTTGCTTGTAGTCCACAAAACCACACAGAGAATTTGGTTCTGCCTCTGTCCCTTTGCACAGGACTAGAAATGGGTCCAGAGAGTAGAGAAACCACATGTGAAAGGAAAGAGATTCCATTTCTCACCTCGGTGCCAAATTCCGTCTCCAACTCCCTGGAACTGGGGCTTCGCAGGCGCCTGGGTTTGGGGATAGGTATTTCCTGCAACAACGCACTTTCTGCCTTGGACTGCAAAGTCAAAACAGGGAAATTACTGCTAGATCACTCCAGGAATGCTACAAAGGCTCGCTTGCCGTCTCAGTCGAGCATAATTGGTAAGAAATGTGTGCTGTCTCTTTTTAAGAGCCGAGGAAATCATTGAGAAGAATGACATTCTCATCTGTCACTTTCACCTGATCAATGCAAAATCCGTATTCACACTCAGAATTTGACAGAGAAATGGAAGGAGGTCCACATCTGTGCTGTCTGCAGGGTAGCAAGCAAGCCAGGCTAAACCCTGCGAGACTACGGTGAGCCCGAATCATGCCATTAATGCCGCTGCCCTTACCCTGGCGGCCTGAAGCTTCTCCCGCATGCGTTCTCTCATGGAAAATTCTGCAAAGCCTGTTCTGGAAGCTGAAGGAATTGGAGGTAAGCCTTAAAAGAAAGAAAAGAAAATTAAATGTTTAAGAGCTAGGAATGTAGTTCAATAGAGCTACCAACTATAAAGTCCTGACTTCAATCCTAACACACACACACATACACACACACACACACACACACACACACACACACACACACACACACACACACGGAAAAGGAAAATTAGTTTAAACCTAGATTTCCCTCCCTCCTTCCCTCCTTTCCTTTCTTCCTCCCTCCCTCCCTTCCTACCTTCCTTCCTTTCCTTTCTCTCTTTCTTTCTTTCTTTCTCTCTCTCTCTCTCTGCCTCTCTCTTTCTTTCTTTCTTTCTACCTTCCTTCCTTCCTTTCTTCCTATTACTAGGGTTTGAACTCAGAGCCTGGCCACTTGTCTCTTAGCTTTTTTTTTTGTTGTTGTTCAGAGACGGGACTCAAACTCACAATCTAAACAATTTCACTCACTGGCTGACCTTCTACCACCTGAGCCATACTTCCAACCCCACCCCTTAGCTTTTTGGCCCAAAGCTGGCATTCTACCATTTTTTTGGGGGGGGGGTCCGGTCGTGGGGCCTGAACTCTGGGCCTGGGTGCTGTCCCTCAGCTCTTTAGCTCAAGGCTAGCGCTCTACCACTTGAGCCACAGCGCCACTTCCGGCTTTTTTCTTTTTGCTCATGTAGTGCTGAGGAATTGAACCCAGGGTCTCAGGCATGCAAGGCAAGCGCTCTACCACTGAGCCATCTTCCCAGCCTGCATTCTACCATTTTAACCACAGCTCCACTGCTGGGTTTTTGGTGGTTAATTGGAGAGAAGATGCTCATGGAGTATCCTGCCTGGACTTTCTTATGTCTTTGAACTGCCATTGGTGTCCAGCTACTTTTAACCATTTATTTTTCCAAAGGGAAAATAAAACTTGCCAAAATGAGAGAATGGAATTGTGCCAATTCTGAGCCTCAAATAAGTGAACACGAGTATGCTGACAGCTCTTTTTTTTTATGTCATAAGTACATATCTCGGCTGTTTTGGAATGGAGTGTGGAGGATAACCATCTGGCCAGGGCCTACCAATCTTGATTTAAACTGAGAATAAAATGAAGGCCACCTGTGCTCTCAAGGTAAACAAATAGCAACTCCATGGCCTTGGGAAGAGGCTCTCCTTTGTGGGTTGATCTTAGTAAGCACTTTCTCAGGTGAGCGAGTTGGGGGTCCCAGAGTTTAACTTTTACTTCAACCAGAGAAACACTATGTACAGACCTACAAGTAGAACCTTAAACTAGAGACAACACATATTTCGCAGAAAGTGTTGAGTACAGATGTCAATATCTTGGGCCATCGGGCAGCAGTTGGGTGCCGGGGATTGCAGATATATGCAATGCATTTCCCCATCAGACTTGGTGGCATCCTCACAAGGGAGGATCAGGTGTTGTCACTACCAGGTAGAATGAAGATGAAGACGCCGAGGCCCTGGGTCACTGAATTTCAAGGGCCAGCACACATGTAGGAGGCGAAGGGCTTGGTAGGTAGTGCTAGTTCTATGCTCCCTGATGATTCTCCCCACTCCCAATGAGGTAGACATCAAGTAGCCTCGGGTGGACAGAATGTTACCTTCAATGGAGTAGTGAGTCTCTATTGGGATGGAGGAGAAAAGATTGCAGAATTGGGAGGTGCTGACAAGGAGGTGCTTATGCCCTGTAAGAAGTCCTGACCATGTTTTACAAACAGTGTGGAAGTCTTGAAGAACGCAGAAGCGGAGGGAGTTGATGCCAGAAGCATTTCAGAAGCTGCCTGGGTGGAAGGCATAGGATGGTTGGGTGGAATGGATGAAAGCCGGGAACCTCAGCGAGCGTGCTCTGCTGTGAGGCCATGAGGAAGGAGGGTTGGTAGGAGATGATGAGGAAGAATACTAAAGGACGCTATGGAGACTGGGAGACAGAGGGCCCAGAAGACTTAGCAGCAGCAATGGCTTCTAGAAACCTTCGGTACACAAATCTCAGGCTATGCTCCAGGCCTGCTGAATCAGAAGCTGGTACAGCTTAGCAGAGTGAGGCTCTAAACTCATTCAGGTGTAAAGGCTTTGGTCTGGAGAAGGAAGGTGGTGGAGGTGTCTGAGGGCTCAGTTGAGGGCTGTCAGGTGTGTGGAGATGCTGAGAAACAGGTGGAGAAGGAAGCCAGGCTAAGGAGGTTTCAGCGGGGATTTGTTTACAGCCTGGAAGAATGTGTGCTTGTCTAGAACGCTGAGCTCGAGGGCCCCAGTCGGGCATAAAGGTGAAGCACTGGGACCAGGGACCGTGCTGAAGTTCTAAGGAGAGACTGCTTCCTCAGGGCGAAAACGCTGCAAGACATTGTACATCACAGCAGTTAAGACAAAAAGGCTAACGGATGGGAGAAGAGAGGACATGGAACAAGATTGGCAGAGAGGAGAAGGAGAGACAAACACCACAGATTCCCAGAGCCTGCATTGCGTTCGCAAACACGGACCATCATCCCAAGCGGCCAGTTCTTGGGGCGTGCTTCTTCCTTTCTTGTGATTGAAAGACACAAAATACTGCTTATATCATGCCTCTCGCCATATCGCTGAATTCATCCACAGAAGCCTGGAATACTCATAAGTATGCTAGCAGCCCAAGTGTGTGTTGAGGTTCAAAGTTCATCGTGAGAACATTGATCCCTGTCTCATATGCTTAGAGTCGTGAGGCTTTTCTTAATCAATTGCATTTGTCAAATTCTGCATTCATGGGCATGTCTGTGTGGCTTTGGGATTCACACCTGCTTCCTCTTCCGCTCCTAAGGTCTCGCCACATACAGAGTGCACACTGGATCTGTGTGTGTGACAGATGCCAGGTGGCAGTGGACCTTCTGGGCTGGGTGTCAGGAGCCTTCTCAGGTTGACTGTCTATTGTGCCCATGCCCTCTCCTTCCCCAGAAGATCCCTTTTTAAAATTAACAATGTCTTTCGGCATGTAAAATAATTTTTTCTTATTGGCTCCTATCCTTTCAAAATAACAGCCATGCTTTCCTGCTTATTCAAAATGGTTGCTGCGAGTACACATTTATTAGAATAATCTTTTGAATTATTCTTTCAAAAAACAAGATGTGGTATTTTATTAAATACTATCTCTTCTGAGTTAAGAAACTGAAATGATTAGATTGCTGGTGGTTCAGGTCTGTAATCCTAGCTACTCAGAAGGCTGGGATTTTGGGAATCAGAATTTGAAGCCAGCCCAGCAGAATGTTTGGGAGATTGCCACGGCTCATTGTGACTTAGAGCTTCTAACTCTAGTAATCTTCTCAAAAGAAATAATGCAAATCTATACAGAGACGCGGCTGCAAGTGCTCACAACGATGCAGTTCGTTATGCCCAGTGAATGAAATCAAATGTCCATCAATAGGCGAATACACAAAAGGTGGTATATGCATTGGATGGGATGCATTTCACTAATGGAAGGGAATGAAATGCAGATATATATTAAAATCAGTGAATCTGTAAGTGAAAGAAACCAAATGAAAATCAGTGTAGATGATGTTGTTTACATGTCATGTCTTACCAAGTCTTGTTTATAGGGATAGACAGAGGTCATCGTTTGTATAGTGTTGGGATCTGGGGTGGAGATAAAGGGGCACAAAGGAACTTTAGGGGTCATGGAAATGGACCAAAGCGGATTGTGGTGATACTGCATCATGTAAAGTTACCTGATTAAGACTATTGAAACACGACTCATTAGCTATGCAAAAGTGAATTCTGTGTAGGCAGGTGTATATTTAGGGATAAAAATTTGGGACTGGTCAGTGTCTAGATAGAATTGAATGATTTTAAGGTGACAAGAAGAATGAGCAAATTTCTTTCTCTCCCCGGCAAGGCCAAGTCTGGATCCTGTGGCTCTCCAACATAGAGTTCTCGGGATGTGAGGGAGACCCGCAGAAAGCAACAGAGAAGTACGGTCACTGCGGCAGAAGGAAAATCAGGTGAGTGGATTTCTCAGAGCAAGTCAAGAAGCAGGAAGGAGTGTCCAGCACATCAAACATGGTGGAAAGCCAGGGAAGGTAAGGAACAAGCTCTGACTGACTGTTCAATTTGATGACTGTGTGGTTCCTCGGTGACCTTGATAAGGCCATTTTTAAATAGATGAGTGGGCATGTGTGCTAGCTTATGGACTGGGCTCCAAAGAGGACTGGAGACCAATAGAAATGGAGAAAGAGGAGTCTGGAGAAATTGTACTGAAAGGTTTCTGCTTTGAATGGAAGCTCTGACTAGAGAAGATGTGGTTGGTCATGCCTTTCTTTGTAACTTAGAACAATAGGTGATCTTAATCTGGATGTTTCTTGGTACTGTATCTTAATCATCTAAGTAGGGAGAGGTGTTGAGTGATGGGTGATTCCCTGTTCCCTCGCTGTGTTTTGCTGTTGGTTGCAATGTATATCTCTTTGAGGCTCAGTGCTTGAGGCTGTCTCACACCATATTGTACATCACGGTATTGCACATCACGGCGTTTGTGTCTTGGATCTGCCTTTCCAGGCTTTGGTGATTTATTTTTAAAACACTATGCTTCAAATGAATGATCTCTTTCATTTATATCCAATTTCACTGGATTCTCAACTGTCTTTTCAGATAATGTTGAGAAACTGGCTCTGAAATGGTATTTTAATCAGAGAAACTAATGTGAATGAAAGGAAAGCAGATGTTAGCAGTGAAGAAATTTATGTTCAGAAGAAATGACGTAACACTTGGCAGTGATTCCCTGAAGATATGCTGTGGTACAAGATGGAATCATAGGGATGTGTATATTATGATTATGATTGTTATTAATGGAGGGCCTCGTGTTTTCCAGGCCCTACCTGGCTCTACCACTTGAGCTACGCCTCCAGCATTGATACTTTCCAAGTCTGGGTCTTGTTTTGACCCTGGCTGGCCTAGGCTTCTGCCCCTCTACCTGTGCTTGCCTGGTCCCTGGGGGGGGTGACCCACTAGGTGTGTGCCACTGTGCTTACCCGGTAGCTGGAGTGACAGGCATGTGCTACCACACCCAGCCATTGACTCAGACAGAATCTCTTAGCCTTTCTGACTTGCCTGGTCTTGAACCAGATCACCCAATCCCTACTTTTCCAAGTAGCTAAGATTACAGGCTTTAGGCTAGCAGGCTGGGCAGACTTTAACATTAGATGCTATTTAACTTGAAACGAGTGTGTATGCCATGAAATGCTTTCTCTATTTGTAATGTCGGGTTAGCAAATTAGAAGGCAAAGGATGGATCTGGGCTGCTGTTTTTCGGGGAGATGGCACCCGTGGGCATGATGTCTGGTACGGCCACAGCGTCAGTATCTGAAGGCAGCCTGACCATGAAGACACTGGGAAGCACGTAGGAGCTGCAGTGTGACAGAGTCCAAGGTCAAGGCAAGGAGCTAGGCTGGTAGCAGGAAGGGGCAGCCCAGACGCACAGGACGTTTGCCGTTCCATACTCCGTGTTGTATTCCGTGCAGCTCTCCCCCCTCCCTGCGGCTTGTCTCCTGCCTCTGCTTTTCCAGAGCTCATTGGACTCATGGAAGACAGGACTGGACAGAGTCTCTGACTCTGCTGGTTTTGACTTCTCACTTTTGACTCACTCTGGCCTCTCCGGCTGCTTATCCTTCAGGCCATCCACGTCTCACTGCTAGAGATAGCTTTCTCTATATTGGAGTCTACCAGTGCTGCCAACATTAGCAACAACGTTCAGTGCTAGATTCCAGTTGCCTATAACCAAGGAGGGATGATTAACTTTGTATTAACGTTAGACCTCTCCATATTCCAAATCAGAATTTTTTTTTCCCTGGTCGGTCGTGGGTCTTGAATTCTGGGCCTGGGCGCTGTCCCTGTGCTCTTCAGCTCAAGGCAAGTGCTCTACCACTTGAGCCACAGCGCCACTTCTGGTTTTCTAGTGGTTTATTGGAGATAAAGAGTCTCACTGACAAATGCATATATTCAAACTCCTGTCTAAAGTTTCCTATACCTTAGCTACTATGTATTCACCTAATACGCTATAATATTTAGTATACTTCCACATTGTTTTTAAAATTTTGATCTTCATAATCAGTCCCAAGGTCACACTGAATGGTTGTTTCCCCTTTTTAGAAGTGAAAAGAATTTACTTTTTACAGCACGGTGCCTTTGGGACTAAGAACCTACCTTCTCTGACACTTTTCCTCATGATGTAATAAAAATAACGACTTAATATCTAGTCCATGTGCTCAGGACTAAATTGTCTACCCTAAATTCATATGTTAAATCTCTAGTGCCCAATATGACTATATTTGGAGATAAATCCTACAGGAGGTCATTAAGAGCAAATGAGATCATAAGGGTGGAGGCCTTAATATATTAAGAATAGTATCCTTAGAAGAACTACTACCAGAGTGACTGCAGTTCCTGGAGCAATTGTGAACAGGTCACATGAGCATGGAGCAAGATGGCAGTTGCCTAAAAGCCAGGAAGAAGGTCCTCACTAGAAACTGGCTGATGCTGGTACCAAGAGCTCAGACTTCCAGCCTCTGGAACTATGAGGAAGTAAATTCTGATTGTTTAAATTGTTCAGTTTCTATACTTAGTCATGGTAGCCTGAGCTGACCCTAATAATGAAGAATTCTGAGTATTTAGAGGAAGGAACAATTATATGGGATAAATTTTGGTTCTGTTTCTCCCGATTCCCTGTAGCTCTCATTGAATTGTGGTCTTTTGATGAGAGCCACATTTTTCTTAGGGTTGGACATCAGATCAACTTGTTTCCAAAGCCCTTAAATTTTCCACAGTTATTTTATTTCCCAGCTCTGCCACAGTGAAATAGTGTAACAATTACCTAACAACTGAAAAATCTAAGATATTTCTCGACTTACATTTATCTTTCTTCTCATGAGAAGCCCTAATGTGGGCAGTGGTTTTCCCTATAATGAGCAAATAATAATGGTTCATGTGCTGGGGAAACACAAATGCTATAAAGTATAGGCTAAGTTTCTTGGAAGGTGGCCTAAGAGACACAGTCACAGAGAATCTCAGAAACTGCACCCATTCTCCCAACATCCAGTTCAAGTCCCGCCCCATTCCCCCTAATGATATTGTCTTCCTTGTAATTTCTACATACTGGATTATCAACACCACTATCGTTATTGTTTATTATTATTATAGTAATCATTATTTTGTGTCAGTAATGGGGCTTGAACTCAGGGCCTCACAGTTTCCCTTAGCTTTTTCATTCAAGGCTGGTGCTCTACCACTTGAGCTACTCTTTTGCCAAGGGATTTTTTCTGGTTAATTGGAGTCTGTCTGATTTGTCTGCCTGGGCTGGCCAGGATCCTCCGATCTAAGCCTCCTGCATAGCTAGGATTACAGGTGTGAGCCACTGGCACCAGGCTTTCTCAGCACCATTTCTAGTTCAATTCATTCTGCCTCACTTCCCTGGTTATAGAAAGTGTCTCGAAGCTGTGCCACATCTACACAATTGCTACCCTAGCAATGAGGATTGTAACAAAGTGGGGTTCAGCAGCCAGAACTATGCATTAAACGTAATACCCCTAAGAGAAAGCTCATAATTCCCTTGCTGAGCCAAGTATCAATTTGAAGTCTGATCTGATCAGAACCAAAGAGATACTTACTTCGAGGGCCCCGCTTGGCTGTCATGCCCAGAAGATGCGTCTCGGGCTCTTCCTGTGCAGGCTCCTGCTGGGAGCCGTTGTGAGATTTTTCAGATACCATTTCCTCAGGGTCGGTGGTTGGAGGCTATGGACAGGAAGAGCAGAGGGTTCAGAGACACCCTGAGTTTTAGCTCACCTTAGATCTTCAGTCAGGATGAGCCAGGTCACCCGTGAAGGGATGGATCTTAGACCTGGGGCAGCGATGTTCCTGTGGCATGAGTCATAATGGCCCTGCGCTAGGGAAGGACTGCCCACCTTGGCAGTCTAGTAAATTTTCAAACATTATTGACATCCCCGAATAAGATCATTATCTTCACTTTTCCTTGGTAACATGTATTGCATTGATCTCTGCAGAACACCATAAGGCCGTACTTTATTATGCACTCCTAGACATATTGGAAGCATCTTTTAGAAACTTGCTGTCTAATCAGGGACAAACATTATTTTCACAATTTTGGAGTCCCCAGGAAGAGCTTCTTGAATCTTCCCCCCAAGTCTCGGGGGAGGAAGCCAAGGAGGCAAAGTTGGCAACGATGCCTTTGCGAACCAGACAGCTGAAAACTTGTCATCAACTCAGACGGACTATGGACTAAGGGTGAGAATTTCACTTCTTTATGAATTACCTTCTCCTCTATAAAAGAATCTAGGACACACCCAGAGATTTTGACTAGAATTCACATATAGCCATGGCTGGGGATCAGGGTTCTAGTACAGGTTCAGTGAAAGGGAGGATGTCTATAAAAGTGGAAAGCAGTCTAATGAAACAGCAGTGTCAATCCCCCCCCCCCCCCCCCATTCCATCCAGGATTTACAGCAGCCTTAGCTCTGGTCACCTGCAGCTCGCTGTGCGGGTGTATCTGGACCTGAAGTCTTGCATCCTTTTCCTTAGCCACCTAACTCTTCTCTGCCCAGGGCTCTAGAGTAGGAGGTGACCAGCAGGGAAGAGGTAAAAGCTCAGGCACGGCCAGCGGTGAGTCTCTCAGATTCCCGGGAGTGGCCAGACACTGGCCCACGTGGCCTGGCTAGCAGGTCCCTGCCCCACCCCAGCCCGAGTGGGTCTGCAGGGCAGTCAGCTTCTCTGTTCGGCTTGCGGGAGGATGCACTGCACGAGGAGCAGCCCCGTCATGTGACTGCTGCCTCAAAATGGCGTTCCCTTTCCCTCCCTGGCTGGCATCTCAGTCATGCCTGCCTAGCCCCTCATTCTGCACACCCCCCTCCTCTGCTCCCCTTCTCCGAGGGCAGCAGCTGCTACTAAGAGAATTGATTTGCTTGGAAAGGGTTTACCTTGCGGGAGATGCTCTAGCCTGGGAAGGGAACTTCTGCGAAGAGGTGTGGGGGAGGAACAGGGACTGTTGGTTTCTGGCTCAGTCTAACAAGGAATTCAGGCTTTGGAGCAAGAGAGGGAGTTCTCTAACATTTGTAATCCTGCACTGCCATCTACTGCCTGCCCTCATTTATAGCTGTCAGTGACATCACTAGCCATCTTCTCCAGACTTGGCTCAGGAGATAGAAGAAAACTTAAGAGGAAAAAGAAGCATGGGTTTGAGCCTTGGTATGAGTACCATCTGGACGTGCTCACAGGGACAGCCAGGCTGCAAGCCTGCCTCATAGTTCTCCAAAGCAGACTAAAAATTGGTATCCAAAGGAAGATGCTTTTTTTTTTCTGTGTCAGATTCCGTGTGGTCACTGACGGTGCTGGCAGGTCATTAAGCAAAGACACACAACGCAGACAGACACAGTTTCTCTTCCCTTCATACCTGTTTCTTTCTTTGTCGTCTTTGGGCCTTTGAATTCTTCTTCTGCCTTCCCAGGTCTGCATCCTCCTCATTTTCAGTGAACTCCTGAAAAGGGAAGAGGTGACTTTCAGGCATTGATCTGGATCTTGAGGCAAGATACACGTGAGTGGCTCTCACTGACGCTCCTCTTAAAACAGACACGGTGTGAATACGTGACTTTACAGTGTAGCATCCCATGTGAAATGATCTTGGAGCTGCTATTGTTGCCAGTCCTTGTTCATGGTTACTACGTTTATGGAGCACATATTGAGTTCTAGGTCCAGGAGGAAAATACAATATACTTCCCCCTCTCAAAAGTCACATTCTGAGGAAGATCACCAAGGATCTGCCAGGCAGGTCAGATGATGAGCCAGGACAAAGGGCAGACTTTGGAGGCAATCTGACCAGCCGGAGGGAAATATATACTACATTGGAAAATAGGCTACATTAGATCACCGAAAGAATTTAAATTTAGTATGAATTTTGGTAGATGTGTATGCGTGCACATGTGTGTGTGCGCGCGCACACCCCTGTCCTGGGCTTGAACTTAGGGGCCGGGCAGCACTGTCTCTGAGCCGTTTTGCTCAAGGCTAGCACCCTACTATTTGAGCCACACATCTACTTGTGGCTTTTCTGGTAGTTAATTGGAGATGAGAGTCTCATGGACTTTCATGCTAGGGCTAGCTCTGAACCATGATCCTCAGATCTCAGCCTCTTGAGTAACTAGGTTTACGGTCTCATTCTCTGTCCAGGTGTCCAGCTAAATTTCGGAAGATCTTTTTGAGAAGGGAAAACTACAAACATCTTTTCCTTGTTGTACATTATGCATTCAAATGCTTTAGAATCAAATCTCAAGAGTTCAAAAGTCTAAAAGTATTTCAGCTTTCAAGTTTTCTAACCTCAGACTTTTATAAACTGGGGTATCAGCATTTTTGGATGAACAGAAACTGTAAAGTAGCTGGGTATGATGGTACACAGCTATAGTCCCTGCACTTGGGATGCTGAGGTAGGAGGATTGAGTTCCTGGTTGGCCTGGACTATATAAGATTGTTTCAAGCGAGTGAGAGGAAGAGGATAGGGAAAGGAGGGAGAGAGACTTCCAGTCTGTGGCAATGTGCCTCTGGTTCATGCTCTGAGTCCAGGCCTCTGCTTACTCAGGCCTCCTTTACTTGAATCTGCTACATAGTTGAATTTCATTATAAATGGTTCTAATGATAAGTATGATTCCTAAATTCTACTGACATAGAATGGACTAGAGTCAACATGCCATCTTTTGTTTTTTAATGTTCTCATCTTGAATCAATAGAAAGCTGCCAAGCAGGACTTCCAGTCAGATGGAATGTAGACTCCATGAAGACACGGGCTTTTCTTTATTGCTAGATTCCCAGAGGCTAGAGACACAGAACATCTGTCCCGTGGATAAAGAGATTGTGTGGTTTTGTTCTTGAGATCTTGCTTAAGCTGATGGTTTTCTGAGGCATTCTCTGGGGCTCTCTAAAGCACTACATCGGAAACTGGACAATGTCTGCCTTTGTGTCCCAGTGGACTTGTAAGGATCCCCAGAAAAACTCTTGCTGCTTAGTGATTGCATTCTCCAGGAGGTAGACCCATAACTTCCATTAACTTCCTCTGCTCTGGGAAGTGATTTAAGGCTGTTATATATAACATGAATCAGAAATTGCAAGACTCCAGGGACAGATTTCATTAGCATTATAATCCACAATTGTTACTTAAAAAAATGAAATCAAGATGCTTCAGGCAGAGCTAGGCCCAGCAGCGGAGTATGAGTGAGGGCTGCTGTGTTGCAATTCATGACATGGTGACAGTTCAGGGAAATCAGTAGAGGTAAGACCTCTGGGGTTCCTACAAGCCCTTCATTATCTATCTCCTCTGTCTATCTGAAAGATTACCCTGACCACACATGCAGTTGCTGTGTGCTAAATTAATCTAAACTTTGGCCTGAGGTAAGTGCTTCAAGTATTTACTTAACAATCTGTACCCGAACTTGGTATGAAAACTAACTGGATGTTTATTTGAAAGTAACTTTTGTGACAAAGAGCTGAGCCTCAACAATCAACGCAACCAAGCTTAGCCAATCACAGGCCACAGACTGATGAAGCAACATTTGAATACAACACCCTGGGCAGCAGCCAATCAAGTTGTTCCTATACGTCACTTCTGTTTTCCACCCTTAAATACTGCGTGAGAGTGAAGCCCTGTAAACCTCTTCTGGTCCAAAGGCTACTGGATTCATGAATTACCTTTTGATCCACCAATGCCTGTCAAATTTTAATTTGTTACAAGTTTTCACTTCAATACACATTTTCCTTTCCTTTCAATATGTGGTAAATGCTTGTTGGTAGCCCTTACTTCTTCATCCACAAATATATTCCATAGAGTGTCTCAAGCAAACACTTACCTCTGTAATTATCTTTACTTTTTCTTCTCTGGGATTCATTTTGGCTAGGATAGGCCCTTGACAAAGAAAGAACAAAGATGTCATGCATTTTGAAACCACAGAAATATTGTTCTTCTTACCATTGGTGACTGATGGTTATGCAAGCATTTAAGCTGAGAAGACTTTCTCCAGTTCACCAGGAATCCTCAGACCCCAGAATTTGCAGGAAGAAAGAAGGTTGTAAGATGCCTCAATCCTCAGCAACCTGGCTTTACTGTTCACATTCTTAGTTGGAATCCAGCTCAAGTGGAGAATTTTATAGCTTCTACGCTTCCACCATCTTCCACCTTTCTGCCCTTTCTCAGTCTGCTCTTGATCTTAATTCTCATTTTACTGAACAAACAGACAAAGCCAGGGAGATGCCCAGATCCTCCTCACCTCACCCACCTCGTGGCATCTTCCAGGAGTTGTCTCTGCTTTGCTGCAGCCAGTTCCTCTGCAGGTCAGCAGGCCCCAACATTTCCCTCCTTTGGGAAGTTGGCTTCACACTTTCTCTCTTTCACCTGTGCAATCATTTCTCCCTGTTCTATTGGCTCATTTCCACTAGTATTTAGAAAAGCTAGAATTAGTCCTTAAACACTTCACTTCTTTTTTAGCTGTTGCTAACATTTTCAATCTTTATAGGAAAATCTCTGAGTATATACCCTTTCTTTCTAGCACTTTCTGCCATTGCTCTTGCCAGCATCTCTCAATGACCATGACCTTTGCATTGATGCGTCTTAGGCTCAATTCTCAGTCCTCACCTGCTGGATCTCATACGAAATACTTAGCAATGAGGGAAATCTATCCTTTCCTTTAGAAATACTTCAATTGAAGCTGGGTGCCAGTGGCTCACACCAGTAATGCTAGATATTAAAGAAGCTGAGAAATGAAGGTTTGGGTTTGAAGTCACCCCAGGTAGCAAAGTCTGTAAGACATGTATCTTCAGTTGACCAACAAAAAACCAGAAGTGGAGCTGTGGCTCAAGTGGTAGAACACTAGCCTTGAGCAAAATAGTTCAAGGACAGTATCCAAGTCCCCAGGATGGACACACACACACACACACACACACACACACACACACACACACACACACACACACACACACACACACACACACACACACACACACACACACACACACACACACACACACACACACACACACACACACACACACACACACACACTCACACACACACACTCACACACACACACACACACTCTCTCTCTCTCTCTCTCTCTCTCTCACACACACACTCCTCTCTCTCTCTCTCTCTCTCTCTCTCTCTCTCTCTCTCTCTCTCTCTCTTTACTTCACTTGACTTCTGGGTCCAGTTCATTCCTGATTTCCTTCAACCACTGGCTGCTTCTTGAATGCCTTTGCTGCTGTTTTCTTTCATCTCTAACTCCATACTGAAAGGCAGTTCTTAATCCTATATAGATACATATAGCTATATAGATACAGATATAGGTAGATAGGTAGATAGGTAGATAGATAGATAGATAGATAGATAGATAGATATGTATATTCCTCAAAGGATAGCCTGAGTCCAAGCATCTCCCTAGAATGGCAGACCTCAATGTGGGCTGTGTGAGGGACACCTTCGCTTGGCTTAATGAGCCTGAAATGAAAGTTCTACTTCTATCCTCAAGTCTGCTTGTGTTACAATTTTCCTATCAACAAACAGAAATCTGTTCTGCCCAGGCCAGAAACCTAAGGTCTCCTCATCTATTCTCCCACTCTTTCTAGCCACACCGTGTCTGTCTGACATGGTTAATTTTAGGTGTCACTTGACTGGATTAAGGAATACCTAGGGACTTGGGACAGCAATACTTTGGTTAGTATGTGAGTCTGAGTGGGGTGGGGTGGGAGAAGACCCTTTCTCATAGTGGGAGAACCATCTACACAGCCAGCCACCAGAGAAAACAATATGGAAGGTGAGTCAGTCTCTTCTTCCAACCTCTAAGAGCTCGGATATAATCCTGTCCTCAAGTCCAGGCTCTCTGGCCTTTGGACTCTAGGACTTAGTCCAGCAGCCCCTAGGGTTACACCATGAACTCCCCTGGGCCTGAGACCTTGTGAGTTGGACCAGCTTTCCAAAGTCTCCAGCCTATAGATAGTCTGTTGTGGGGCACCAAAGAGACCATCATCCCATGAGCTAGCTCCCTAATAAATCTCTCATATGTTTACATATGTATCCTATTGGTTCTGTCTCTCTGGAGACTGTTGGCCCCAATCAATCAGAACACTGCCAGCTTTGACTACAAATTATATTCAGATCCAGACACTTCTAACACCCCCAATTAATTAATTAGGTTTTTTTTTTGTGCTGGTAGCAGAGTTTGAATTCAGGACCTTGAGCTCACATTCAGTTTTCTTGGTCACAACTGGTGCTCTATCACTTGAGCCATGCCTCCCATTCACATGTCTTCTTTCATACCACACAGATAGCTACAGCTTCCTCTCCATTTTTTTTTCTGTTTCCCACACTGCCTTGCTACAGCATCCTGTATGTTGAAGCCAGAGTGAGTGGTTGGAAAACCATGATCAATATGATCATGTCTTTCAATGACTCAAAATCTATCAGTGATGTCAGGATTTTCCAAGTCCCTCCATGATTGTACATTTGCACGGGCTTGCTCCAGGGCCTTGGACTCTCTGTCCCTTTGGCCTAGGATCTGTGTTTTATAACTTGCACAGCGATTCCTCCCTCCCCCGCTCTCCCTCTCGCTCTCATTTCCTTAAGGTCTCTGCTGGAATTTCCTTTTCTCAGAGAAGTCTTCCACAAGGACTCTCAATACAATGATAACTTCTCACCTCTGTTCTCTGAGAGTTCTCTAACAACTCCCAGAGTGCCTTAAGATCTTTCTGCAGTACTTAACACGGATCAGTGTATGTGCTTGCCTGTCCACCATTAGAAAAAGTCCCTCTGTAAGGGGGCAGGAACAGTATTTTATCCACGTTTTCTTCCCAGAGTCTTGGGTCATGGGGTACTGGAACACAGTAGATATTCTCACTGCTTACTGCTTCTGCCTTTTTTTTTTGTCCATCTCGGTGCTTGAACTCTGGGTCTGGGCTCTGTCCCTGAGCTCTTCAGCTCAAGGCTAGTGCTCTACCACTTGAGCCATAGCACCACTTCCAGTTCTCTGGTGGTTTATTGGAGCATCTCATAGACTTTCCTGCCCAGGCTGGCTTTGAACAGTGACCCTTAGATCTCAGCCTCCTTGATATCTAGGATTACAGGCATGAGCTACTGGCACTCAGCTGCTGCTTCTGTCTTTTTATTGGGGAAGGGTTGCAGGGTATCTGTCTTAGGCTTGAACTCAGGGCCTGGCCATTCATTGTCCCTGAACGTTTTTGCTCAACACAACTTTTGCTAGCACTCTATCACTTGAGCCACTTCTGGATTTGTGTGTGTGTGTGTGTGTGTGTGTGTGTGTGTATGTGTATGTGTGTGTGTGTGTAAATAATTAGAGATCAGAGTCTCACAAACTTTCCTGCCTGGGCTGGCTTCAAACTGTGATCCTCAGATGTCTGCTTTCCTGATAGTTAGAACTATAGGCATATGCCACTGGTACCTGGCTTGTTTCTGTCTTGATGGCCACATTTGGACCCTTTCCTTTAAAGCTTTGTTGTCCTCTGAGGTCTGAGGTTAGGATTGAGAGATCAAGTAGAAAAATACTACACACAAGTTGCAAATCATAAAGTGTCCTTAATGCCATGGATTTCAAATGTTAGCTCTGCCTTGGTCATCGGGCAGCTCGTTCAGGGTCCTCCTGCCCTTCAGGGGGAGCTAGCAGCTGCACAGAAATAAAGGATCTTCTGTATCAACTCCTCACCAGCTACAGAAATGTAGAGAGGAAATGAGGAAAGCATATCAGAAGATAAAGAACTGAAAAGATATTCTAGAGACAGCCAGGAGTGAAAGAACACAATGCTGTCTGATAAAGAACTCTGATAGTGATGACCTGGAAAAAGAAAAGATGTGATATATATATATATATATATATATATATGTATATATGTATATATATATATGTATATATGTATATATGTATATATATATATATACATATATATATATATATAGTCGGTTGTGGGGCTTGAACTCTGGGCTTGGGTGCTATCCCTCAGCTCTTCAGCTCAAGGCGAAGCTCTACCACTTGAGCTATAATGCCACTTCTGGTTTTCTAGTGGTTTACTGGAAATAAAAATCTCACAGACTTTCCTGCCCAGGCTGGCTTTGAACCGTGATCCTCAGATCTCAACCTCCCGAATAGCTAGGATTATAGGAATGAGCCACCTGTGCCTGGCTGGGATGTGAAATATTTTATTAAGTAAAAAGAAAGATTCTCCATAAAAAATCAACCATGGAAGAAAAAAATAGAAGTAGAACATGAAAAATAGAAAGGGGTTGACTTCCTCTCCTCATCCTTTTCTGACCGTCATCTTTGAATACGTTTCTAAGGAAATCCAATGACACCCAAATCCATTTTTCTTAGGAATGCTGTTGCTTAGAAAAGATAAATCAACATCACCCCCACTTTAATACACTGCTTGTAGCATCACTTGTACTGGGTACATGCTAATGCGTTCCTAGCGACTGCTAGGAAAGTAGGGGCCATGGTTTACTGCATACTTATTTTGTGCTATCTTGAGGTAGATGTCCTCCTTCGCCCCCTACAATGACTCCATATTTTAGTTTATACAGGAAGAAATCGAGACTCCCACTTATGTGGTTTGCCTCAGGTTGTACAAGGTATATGTCATATTCAGAAATTGACCTCAAGGTTCTATCATTCTAAACGCCTCCTCCATTCCCTGCTGTCTGTCAGTCTCGCTCTTTAGTCTTGCCTTTGCACGATTATCAGAAATTACCCTATTCTAGTCTAATATTCTGGAAATACCTCCAATGGAGTATTGTGAAGCATTGTACCAGTGACACACACTTAGACTAATAACCTAAGAATAACTTAGGTTATTCAAGAAATGTATGGAAACTTTTGACCAAATGGACTATTCCTAAGGTTCAGCAGCTGATGAGAACTATATCTAGGGATCTATGATGCAGGATGCAGAGAAAGAAGAATGAAGATATAGGAAAGAGGCAATCTTATAAGGCAATGCATCTTACCCACAGCTACCTAAAATGAATAGAATCGTTACAGTGAAATCATGGGTTTATAGCAAGAGTGAGGACTTTGTAAAAACTATTACATAGACCTTGGTTCAAATTCCGGCTCCACTCACTCATCTGCCAGAGATCGTGGAACAATGCTGCCGCTTCTCTGTAAAACTATGATTAGATAGATCATATAAAAGAAATTGTGTAGTAGAGTGCCTCTTGTGGTAGTAGATTGTATTACCAGTTTATAGTACTTAGAATTGGCAAGGGCGGGAAGCATCTGGAGAAAGATGTAAAGAAGAGAAAAGAGCTTGTTAGGGTGCAGAGAAGAGCTATAAGCCATATGAGCCATATGGGTTTTAAACCACAGCCAGTAGATTTTCCTTAGGGATCGCCAAGCCTACATTTCCCACTTCCACTTCACATCCAATCCCTGGCCACTTCAACCCATATACCCTCCCCCCTTCCCCAGCCATATACCCTCCCCCCTTCTCCAGCCATGCTCAGCTCACTTGTGAGTCTTTGTCCATCTATAGTGCTGTGAAACATCCTGTCCTGCAGTCCTTGGGTATTTTCTCCTGCAACCCTGAAAGAAATTTTCTACCCATCTTTCTGGAAGCTCAGAAATATCAGGAGGGGCCACATCCCTTCTGTGATTTGTTATCCAAATCTGTATGTCATTCTAGCCATAGCTTAAAGTAGAAAGTTTAAAGGTCAGTGCCAATTAGCCCTGTAGATACAATGTATATTTCCCTTGCAGAGTGAAGTAGGTACCCTGCTGGCACTCTGTGTGCCCTGTCAAATGAGCACATTTACAGAACAGAGGCCATACAGAAGCCCCTCCCAGGAAAGAATCCTGTCCCTCCAAGCTCTTTAGACCTTTTCCTAAATCTTTTCGGGCACTTAGCTCATTGTGCTATTACTGTCTGCTTATAGAGCTGTCTTCTCAGCACACATCCAGCATCTTCCCAGGTTTAATTCCTTTTCTATCCTCTTTAGCATGTCTGGTGTTAGAATGAATGACTTACAAATGAGCTCTAGGTTTGATATATATATATATATATATATATATATATATATATATATATATTTATATGTGTGTATATGTGTGTGTGTGTGTGTGTGTGAGAGAGAGAGAGAGAGAGAAAGAGAGAGAGAGGAGGTTATTTCCTACTGGCCCTGAATTTGTCTGCAAAAAAAGTGCATATAAAAATGCAGACTTACATTTCCCATTAGACTTTATTAGCTTTCTGTAGCACCTCTTTGCAAAGAAGGCAAATGGGTTTTAAACCACAGCCAGTAGATTTTCCTGAATTCTTGGACCTCAGCCTTTGGTTAAGAGCCCTTTGTCCATCCAATGCCAAAAAAAAAGAAAAAAGAAAAGGAAAGTTCCGCTGGAACTAGCACTTCTCACCCTTGCACCAACTGGAAACTAAAAGGACCGGAAATGCACCGCGAAGAGGATTTCCACCCAGGGATCCTCATGAACCGGATTTACTTCTCCTGCCAACCAGACAAGTAGCTCAAATCAAAGCCGCCCGCGTAAGGCTCGCTCCACATCCCCAGGGCGCAAACTAAAAATGCAGATAACGGAGCTCCTAAGTGTGTAACGCATTGAGCCCGCTCCCAGGCACCCCGGGGAGAGGCAGAACTCTAGGCGCTAGCTGAAAATGGGAAACCATTACTGCAGCCGGGGTTTTGTTAAGAGCTGATTTACCTTAAAGAACTTTACAAAAAGCACCGTGCAGATTCTGTTCTCCAGGATGGAGGGAAGAGAGAGGAGGAGGAGAGGCGAGGCTTGCAGACAAAGCTCCTGAAATAGTCGGAAGGGCAGAGCTGAGTGGAGACTCTCAGGCTGCTTCTGGAAGCCACAGCCACGTCTCTGGGCAAATTGAGCAGCTTAGCAACCAGCTCACAGGGAAGGTCACCAGGCAGCGCCTTTTTTTTTTCTTTTTAAAGTGACAGTTTACTGCTAGTCTCAGAGCAGGAGCAGACTAGTCAGCAGAGGAACTCAAGCTATGGAAAAAGAGAAAGGCACTTAAGTGGGGGAAAATGGGCAGACCTGCCCCCCCGGGTTGTAGGGTCGTTTCTGGTAATGCACAAGACATGCTCAGAGGTGGGAGGATTTAAAATCCCAATAAGCCATTAATATGAGGGGCAGGTGGCTGATTAACTGGGGCAGATCTTTGTGGAGGGCACACTGGGGTGTTTTTGGGCTAACCCTGAAAGGTTGAATGCAGGAGTTAGAGCTCTGCTTATTTTTGGAATGCCACTACAGTCACTGAAGTGGAATATAAATGTTGTGGCTTAAAAATGCTAATGGAGACAGGAGAAAGGCAAGCAGAATGAAGAGTGATGGAATGGGTAGATCAAGGGACAACACCTGTGTGTGTGTGTGTGTGTGTGTGTGTGTGTGTGTGTGCATGTGCACAGCATGCATGCATATGTACATTCACTATGTTATTTTCTGTGTTCTTGGTGCTCTGGCATTTGGGGCCTATATCTTGGAGACACTCATGCTCCTAGACATAACTAATTCTTAGAGATAGCAAATGAAATAAGGAGTTTGGGGGGTCTGGCCCATGCCATCTTGGCCACATGGTGGATGGTAGAAGTCTTGTCTTCATGGTGGAGGAAGGTGAAGCCTGACCCCACTCCCCTCCCCATGATGGGCATGCCTGAATTCCTGGAGGCAGGGGTGAGCACTTGGCTGATAGGCTACTCAACCTGTCAGTCCCGTGCCTGGGACTGGGAGTTTCCTGTGACCCTGCTCCCTGACCTGACCCTATTTAGGCCCGGACCAGCTCAGGGGTCCTTACACCATGCCATGTGTCTCCGTTTCATGTCTAGTTTCCTGGCTCTTTTTCTGGTCACCATGATTGGAGCGGAACTGGTTTGTTGGTATTGTTTTTGTTCTTTCTTTCTTCTCTGGCCTTCGTGGCTCAGTTTTCTAACAGTGTTGAGTGTATTTGCTGACTGCTGGTCTTAGAGACAGGCGTCCACCATGCAGTCGCTGGCCTTTTAATAAAGACTGCACAATTCGACCTCTCAAAATGTGCCTTCTCTGTTTTCCCACCTTACAACACAAATGAATGACTCTTCTTTTGTACCGTTCAATGAGGCCCAGTCAGAAGAAGACATACTTAACCCCTAACTTCCTGGCCAACATACCAAATAGAATACCAGAAAGTTTAGGGTAGCTAAACCACCTTGGTCTTCGCAAGAGAAGAATTCAGGTAAGATGTGATTCTAGGTAATGGTGATAGGAGAGCTTGAAGGAGATAGAGAAGGAGCCTGGGAGGGACAAGCCCAGGGAAGATGGCTGTTTAGCCCATGTCAGCCATCTTTCAGTGTCCTTCTTTATTACAGGACTTGGCCTTGGGTTAAATACTGAGGATTGGAATCCTTGAAGATGGCTTTCTGACTCTCCTTTCTGTTTCCTGGTGGGTGGAGACACCAAAGACGTATTATTCCTTCCTTATCTCCTCATTCTTTTGTAGCTAGCCGCCTCCATTTCCTTGTCAGGTAGGGTTGGGTTTACAGTATGGCTACCCAGCCACCTGCAAGTTCTGTAGTCTGCAATTCCCCGTCTGCTTCATTTTCTACTAACTCATTCCATTTTTGATCGACAAACTAGCGAATGTAAACTCATTCTTCCAGCCATCAGCTTTATCAAACACACAGTGTACCATTATTCCCCCATCCAAAGCTACAGCCAGATCAGGTACCAGGAAACTAGGAACCCTGTCTATGGCCCAGAAGTCACAGAAATGATTCACGTGATAGCATCCTGTACCCATCCCTGACTAACATTAGTTTGCCCCTGTGGCCTTATTTGGCGTGCCATGTTCTATGGTTCTGCTATATACCCCCAAAAAGCTGATGCTAGAATGCTCTCTGCAACAGTGTTGGGGCTGGGGTAGGAACTGAGATATTCGGTTCTTGTGGCTGGATGAAATGGCTAGCATACACTTTTCACATCTGGGTATCTGGAACACATTTTCATCTTTTGGTGAATTTGTCATTCTTACTCAGTTCTTTCAGTTTCATATAATACTTGAGGATTATAGTTCCTTCATTCTCCAAGAATAAAAAATATGTCACAAGGGAAAAATATAAGATAAAGCTCAAGTTGGAATCACCTTTGAGTCATAAACTTTTTAAGATCATATTCTTTGACTTGGGCTTTATTGTTTCCCATTTACTGAATTAAGTATTTTTTTCCTCAGGAAATATAGCGTGAATTCCCATGAATTGGAAACCTTTGTTACTCTAGCAAATAGAAACCCCTATTGACTCAGAGAGATTGTCTGTGTGGCCTATTTTATTTTGTATATATTAAAGCATTTAATTTGCTTCATACAGCACTATGATTTCCAACCTGTTTTGAGTTACACTTTCTCGTATAAATTTGCCAGCCCGCTCTCTCAAAAAGCTGTCAGAACTATTGAATTAAAAACCCCACAAGTTTCATTTTCTTTGGAGATTCATGTCAGCATTTGAAATAACTGCAGAGGCTCTTGCATATCAGAGGAAATGCTTGCTTGAGTATGAGCAGTGATTTTTCCTGTTTCCTTCTCATTGAAAAGGTTACCTTGCTCTAGCTCTTAACACTTTTCCTTTCTCATTTCTTTACTCCAGTGCCTCTTGATGCCAGGGCCGGCTTCGTCAGCTTAGCGTACAAATATCACCACACGGCTTTCGTGTCTAATTAGTCACTTGAAACTACGCTTGCCCTTTTAGCAGGAGACCCAACATCTCCTTCTTGATGCTTGTTTGCCACTGAGTTGCTCACGACTCTTGAGGGCTTCCTTGATTCAAAGGGTAACCCTTTGTTCAAATGCCAGCGAAAAGAGGACAGCAGCAGGGAGCCAGTGACAGCAGGAAACGGTTCCCAGGATATTGGAGCCATAGTTGGTCTCAGCTGCGTGGCTACACCCAGAAGTCCAGCTGCTCTTACTAGATACCACACACCTGAAACTTCTGTCTTTCACTCTTTTAGCTTAAATGAACACTTCTCAACCAGTGTTGAGACTCCCAGGCCATTTGACAAAGTCTGGGGACATTTTTGTTTGTTGCAATTGTGTGTGGGGGGGGAGGGGGGTAGGTAGAGGAGGATGCTACTGACATCTCTTGAGTAAGAGCCAAGGATGCTTCTAAACATCCCACACAACTTAGGACAGTTATAGTATCTCCAACACACATACCCACCACTACCACCAGCACCACCAGCACCACCATCATTACCATCAGCATCATTGTCATCTTTACCATCCTTCAGCCTTGTATGTGACAGCTGCTGGATAAAAAACACTGCGTTTGCCAGGCTCTGGTAGCTCACTCTTGTCATCCTAGCTACTTAGGAGGCTGAGATCTGAGGATCATGGTTTGAAGCCAGCTTGGGCAGGAAAATCCAGGAGGCTCTTTAAAAAAATTTTTTTTATTATCTTTAAGTGGTTGTACAAAGAACTAGGAGATTCTTTTTTTTTTTTTTTAAGCAACAAAGAGCTGGTTTATTGCAAGCTCGAGCTTGGTCCTCCACGCACACGGTAACCGGTGACGCTAAGAGGCCCTGAGCATAGAATCAGCACAGTTTTTATAGTATTGAACAAACAACTTTAAGGAACTTTTACAAAAGAAATTACATGATTGGTTAACATTTAAAGCAAGCTAAGCTGGGCAAATATGATTGGTTGACCTTGACAGAAAAATGTCCTTGGTCCATAGCTTGACTGAAAACAGTTACATCTGGACCAACAGAATGCATGGCATGTCTCGCCCTGGGCTCTGAAGAACCAGTAACCAGGAGATTCTTAACTCCTATTAACTACCAAAAAAATCAGAAGTGGAGCTCTGGTTCAAATTGGGGGGAGGGCTGGCTTTGAGTAAAAAAGTTCAGGGGCAGTGTCTAGGCCCTGAGTTCAAGTCCCAGGACCCACAGCAGAAAGAGGAAGGAAGGAAGGGAGAAAGAAAGAGAGAAAACAAAGAAAGGGAAGGGAGGGAGACAGGAATGAGGAGAGAGAGGGAGGAAGGAAGATGGGAAGGAAGAAGGAAAGGAAGGAAGGAAGGAGTCTCTGGGGCTTTCAATGTGGTACCTCTATTGTTTTTAGCATCTGATGGGGTGGATCTCAGCTGTAAGCCACACCCTTCCATCTCCATACCACTTGAGTGCAGTTTTCACAGTGATCACCAATCCCCAGTCCATCAATTCCTTTTCTGTGTGCAGCATGGCTCTTTATGGTACCAAGCATCTTTCTTGGTGAATCAGTTTCAGTTAGCTCATTGCTCAGGTTTTAAGGCAGCTGGGCTTTTATCAGAAGAAAGTTAGTCTCTAAATTCATCCCCCCAACCCCTTCCAAAATTTCCTTTGCCAATTATTCAACGTACTTCAATGACCACAAGAGATATTAGGAAATTTATACCACAGTTCATTCTCTTTTTTTAAAATAAATATATTTACGAAGGCATTTCACCTGAACTCTTTCATTATTATCATTTTGTTATCTTCAAGTAGTTGTACAAAGGAGTTTCAATTCCACATGTCAGTTTGTGAGCACATTGTGTCTTGATCCACGTCCACCCTTTCATCGTTTTCTCTCCAAACTCCACCCATCCCCTCAATTTCCCTAAAGAAAATTCTTTTATATCCCACTCCTAGAGAATGTATCCACCTTCATCCATTTGCATGATCAGAACAAGCTACTCAGAGGACCCTCACTGAATACAACTATGCACAAAGAGACTTTCTGGGCACAATAGAGCAAAAAAAAAAAAAAAAAAAAA